AGTCCCTGAAGTACATCCACAGTATCTCTCTGGGAAAGGGCATTTGAAAAAAACCCAATGTATTTACAAGGGAAATACTTAAGAGATTTAAAAATAAAGGTTTAAAAGTTACTCATCTGTAGATAGAATTTTGGGGGAAAGCCCAAGACAAACGCAGTATTAAAGGCACTTTAGGTTAACAGAAGTTAACCTAATTTGTGAGAAAGTTTCTGGTGCAACCTGTTTCATCTTCCCCTCCCCCATTTATCCCAGTATTGTGACAAAATCTTCAGTTTTACCATTATATATTTTTGCCAGTACAAGAACCTGTCCTCATTCAACAAACAGAAAGGACAGCATTCCAGAAATAGTCTGGGCTGATCCAGAGAATAGGATGTCACCTTGACTTCGTGGAAGTGCAGTTCTTCCTCCATCAGTGGCAGCAGCAAAAGCACCATTTTCAAAGGGCAGCACAGAGACTGCCCAAGGCCTGGCTGCATGGGACTCTGAGCAACCTGGGCTAGGGGAAGATGTTCCCCCTGCCCATGGCAGGGCTTTGGAATAGGATGGTCTTTAAGATCCCTTCCAACCCTGGCCATTCTGTGATTCTGAGACTGGGATGGAGGGTTTCCCATCAGAGAATATTCAGGTTTGCTTCTATTTTGAGAAAATTGGGATTTTTTTGGATCCCTGCTCATTGTGGTGATGCATGAAATCATGATTGATACGTGGGTATTGTTAGATGCCCCAGCCTTCCTCACCTTGTCTGGTTCTTTGAGATCTGCAGTTACATGAATTGAGAACTCTTTGAGTACTTTCACCTCTATAGGAGTGTAATAAAAATAGGAAAGCCAAGGTTTCATTGCCCATATGCAGTGAAATCACTGCTCTTTCCTACCCCAAGTGACTCTGGCATTCTGTGAGATACAATGTTTCAAACCCAGGCCTTCACTTGGACTAGAATAAGGAGGCTGGAGGCCTCAGGGATCTGACCATGAACATTTTATGCCACAGGAGTTGATGCCTGGAAGATCATTAATAAACATCCTTCAGGTTTCTCCTGCTTTCTGGTGAAAGAACAAACCAGAACTCCTGTTTCCAAGTGGTGTGCCCAACAGCTCTAAGGCTCAAGCTAATTCTGCTTCCCTCCCCTGTTCAGCACTCTCATTTATAGATTTATGGCTCTGAGTAAGAAGGGAAGTATGAAGTTGGCTGTAATTGGTACTGTGCCTAAGTGTAAATTACCATTTCAAATGGGGATGCTCTGCCAGCTATTGCATTTTTTTTTCATTTTCCCTGTCTATTGCTCTTTTTAGACTGGGGGGATTTGTTTGATGTGTGGAATATTTTGGCTCCTGGGAAATGAATCCTACCCCAGGGCCTCCAGCCTGGGGGAGGTTCTGTTGTGCCTCCCAGCCTGTGCATTAGGGTGCTGATGGATGATTTTAGATGTGCATTGATCACCAAAATATATTGCAGGTATGGAAGGTGTTCTCATGTCTCCATTTAATGGGGATGAGAGCTACAAGATGTCACATGAGCAAAGCATGTCAAGCTGTTCTGCTGAAGGCCCAGTGGCCATCCAGCATCCCCAGCATGTACTGGGCAGCCTTCAGCCCCAAAAGGAGTTTTGGAAAAGGGATATGAAAAGTATTTTGCAACTGGGTTGCAAGCAAGTGAAGAAACTGTAGTAGGGTTATAGGGATGAGAAGCTCCATAACTGGGAAAAGTACCTGAATGTGGGAAGCAGAAGATAGGGGTAGCACAGGAGCCATGAAGGAGGGAATTGGAAAGTTCAGGAGATGATGGGGTGACTGGGAAATGCAGGAAGACAAGGAGGTGGCTAATAAGTTTTGCATGCCCTAGCTTCAAACCTGGATTCCTACTTGGGGTATCTTAGTTTTGGAGTGAGTGTCTCTGGGTTTGGCTTTCCTGAGAAAATGCTACACAGACACAATTTGTTGGCAGCTGCAGTGCTGATCGCATCCAATCCTGCAAAAGGGAGCTAAAAGAAATCCAAAGGTGGCAGTGTTACCCAAAATGCTGAGCCACGTTTGGGGGTGCATCCAAAGGAATGGTAGAAACTGAACTTCTATGCTGTAGATTGACAGTGCCTGTATGGACCAGGCCTGGAAGGACAACGTCCCTCCAGTTTTTGGAGCAGGATGAGAGCCCAGAACTGGGTGTCCTGTGCAAGCCAGAACAATTTTCCCCATGAATCTCTGAAAGGACTTTTGTGCACCTTGGCATTAATGACCAATACAGACTGCGGAGGGATGTGGTCATCATAAACTCTTGAACCACAGCGAGGTGCCAGACCTGAGTTGGAGATGTGATCACAGCTACTGCCTCAAAGAGGAGCTTAATGGCACCCTCAGGTGGCACTGGCCTCGTGGTGTTGGCTTCAGAGCCAGCACCCAAATCTGTCTCCAGGGAGCATTATGGTACAACAGTGTGGCTTTTGGGGACACTCTTCTTGTCCCTCCCAACATCTACGTGTCTCCCTCGCCTGCAGCTCTGCAAATGGTGCGCCATCGGGAGCTGCTGGCCCAGCAGGATCTGCACAGAGGCTGAATTGTGGCAGCTGGTATTGCCTCAATATAGAAGTGAGGGAGGGGTGTGGCGGCACAGGCAGCGCGGTGCCGAGCGGCTCGGAGCAGGCTGCGTGCTGACAAGAGTTGTGTCGCACTCTGCAAGGGCTTCTGGCTTTAGCACTGAGCCTGAGCACACCGTGAGCGCACCGGAGGGCCAGCGGCCTCTGAAGGGCTGTCAGCAGCAAGCCCGGGCGGTGCAGAGCAGCCGGAGCGCCTGCTCGGAGCTGGGCTGTGGCAGGAGGGTGGGAAGGGTTGGGATGTGGGAGCGCCCATCCCATCCCTTTGCTGGCTGCCGGAAGCACGGCTTGCCCAGGGAGCGGGCAGCCCAGAGCTGTGGCAGCATGGAATGTCTGTGTGGGCTGGAAAATGGTCCTGTAAACCGTTCTGGAGCTCCATGCTGACTCTGCTCTGCCGATTGAAGCTCGCTCCTTCAAACCCAGCGCAGGGTGACCTCCGTCATGTAGACATTCCCTATGTGTCCTCTTGGAAACCTCGGGAGCTTTCTCATCCCACCTGAAAGCTGTTTGGAAAGGATTTTTCAACAGTTAACCCTGCAAATGAATAAATCATAATTATGATTCAAATAATCCCGGGAATTAATAATTCATTGTAATAATTGAAAAAGAAATTTCAGCAAGAAGCATTTTACTATTAAAAAAGCAAACATTGATCCTCTTTTTTTATTTTTTTCCAAAGACTAGGTATATTCTCCAGCAAAGTCTTTTTCATCTGGCTGCCATACCCCAATTATGTTTAATATGAAACAAAAATACAATTCCTTGTGTGACAGCCATCTCTTCATAAATGAAAAAATATGCTTTCTTTTGCAACAGCCATCTTCAATGCTAATGAGCAAGAAAGGAAAGGGGATTAAGTGACATTTAATTCATATTCACCTCCTTCCTGAGAACAGAGACAAAGAAAGCAGTCACAGTCAGCTGGTCAAAATGTCCAGAGCCTGAACCAGGAATTGCCAGCTAGTTAGGAGGGACTGTGAGGAGGGAGGCATAAAAAGGGGAATGTTTTCCTCTAGATCCGTGCTGCTAAGAGATGGTGTAGGCTAAGCACATGGCTTGCAGCCAGCAAAGGCATCAGATGCTGCGATGATAAAAGCCTGGTTAATAACGTTTAGCACCGACAAAGGGCTTTCAAGGGAAAGACAGACTTTTGTCCTGTGAAGGATGGAAACAGAGTCACCTGTTAGCCAAATTTCTGTCTTTCAGGAGAAAGTACAGTGTCATGAGTTTCTCTGTGCTTTCAAATGCCAAGCATGACAGGGACGGGGCAAACCATAGATTTCTAAAGACAAAAAGAGCTGGCAGTCTGATCTGATTGCTTGTGAAATTCAGATTCTGATTTTGTGATTTTGGGAAGACTTGATGCTGGCTTTGTAGTGATGGAACAAAAGAAAAAAAAAAAAAAAACAAGCTTATGTGTTTGGTATGTGGCAAAAGAGGCAAACTCGATCCACCCCAAATGAGGAGAGAAACTGCATTTACCTGTATCTTTCCCCGGTTGCACTGTTCACCGTGACAGGTTGTCTCCATCTGTGGATGGTCCGATGCCACCGTCGTGCTTGCATCATGGCAATGACATTTATAAATGGAGGTCCACGAGCCACAGGCATGGAGTGACTGGCTCAAGGTCAACTCCAGCCTGCGGCGGGGACGGGAACAACACCGAGGTCAGCCCGGTTCCACGGCCGAGCTCTGAGCCCTGCCCGGAGCCGGCGGTGTTGGACAGCCCCCGGTAGCGGCTTGCCTGAGGGGACAAGGGCAGGACTCCAGGGGGGAGAGGCGGGCGAAAGGAGGGCGGCGGCGGTGCCGCCCTTTGGACCAGCTGTTGCGAAGCTCCTGGCCGGAGAGCTGCTCCGCCAGCGGCTTCCCCTCAGGGGTCTCCCCCCAAAAGCCGGCGCCCCTGGGCTGGGGCTGCCGCGTCCTCCGCGGCGGGGGGAGAGGTGGGGCGAGCATCCCCCGTTGGCGGGTGCGCGCATCCGTCTGTAGCTGAGCGTGTCGGCGCTGGCGCGGCGTGCGTGTCTGTGTCTGTCTGTCTCCGTGCGGGTGCCTGCCTGTGTCTGCGAGTGCCCTTCTCCCCGTGTGTGCCACCGCGCGTGTGTGCTCGCACACCTCCCTCTCCCGCTCTCTCTCCCGCGTCTCTGTGTCTGTGTGTCCCTGTGTGTGCGCGGGGAGCGCGGCGCGGAGCCGGGAGCGGCAGCAGCGGCAGCAGCAGCAGCAGCGCGGTGCCCCGAGCCCCGCGGCCGGAGGAGGAGCCGCGCCGGGAGCCCCACGGAGCCGCCGGGCGAGCGCGGCCGCACCGAGGCGCAACAGGCGGATGGCGGCGGGCGGCGGGCGCTGAAGGCGAGCGGGGCGAGGCGGAGGGGCAAGGAAGGGCAGGCGAAAAAGGGTAGCGCCGGGCAGAGCGGGCGGGATGCGGGCGGAGGAGCCGCTGGCGCTGGCGGCCCCCCGGGCGGGCGGAGAGGCGGAGGCGGAGGCGCCGGGCGAGGAGCGGAGCGGCGGCAGCTGCTGCAGCAGCGAGCGCCTGGTGATCAACATCTCGGGGCTGCGCTTCGAGACGCAGCTGCGGACCCTCTCCATCTTCCCCGACACGCTGCTGGGGGACCCCAGCCGCCGGGTGCGCTACTTCGACCCGCTCCGCAACGAGTACTTCTTCGACCGCAACCGACCCAGCTTCGACGCCATCCTCTACTACTACCAGTCCGGGGGGCGGCTCCGCCGGCCGGTCCATGTGCCCCTCGACATCTTCCTGGAGGAGATCCGCTTCTACCAGCTGGGCCAGGAGGCTATCGAGACATTCCGGGAGGACGAGGGCTTCATCCCAGAGGAGGAGAAGCCCCTGCCGCAGCACCACTTCCAACGCCAGGTCTGGCTGCTCTTTGAGTACCCCGAGAGCTCCGGGCCAGCCCGGGCCATCGCCATCGTCTCCGTGCTGGTCATCCTCATTTCTATCGTCATCTTCTGCCTGGAGACCCTGCCCGAGTTCCGCCAGGAGCCCAAGGGACCCCAGCCTGGCTTCGGGGAGGCTGCGTCTCTCGGGGACGAGGCGCTGCTGCTGCCGCCGCTGCCACTGCCGAGCGGGACCCCCCCCACCCTGCGCCCCGCCGCCGGCTCCGGCCCATTCTTCACAGACCCCTTCTTCCTCATCGAGACCCTGTGCATCATCTGGTTCTCCTTTGAGCTCCTCGTGCGCTTCTTCGCCTGCCCCAGCAAGCCCGAATTCTCCCGCAACATCATGAACATCATCGACATCGTGGCCATCATCCCCTACTTCATCACCCTGGGCACCGAGCTGGCCCAGCAGCAGCAGCAGAAGCAGCAGCCCGGGAGCAGCAGCAACAATGGGGGCCAGCAGCAAGCCATGTCCCTGGCCATCCTCAGAGTCATCCGCCTGGTCAGAGTCTTCAGGATCTTCAAGCTCTCCAGGCACTCCAAGGGGCTGCAGATCTTAGGGAAGACTCTCCAGGCCAGCATGAGGGAGCTGGGCCTCCTCATCTTCTTCCTCTTCATTGGGGTGATCCTTTTCTCCAGCGCTGTCTACTTTGCAGAGACTGATGACCCTGACTCACTGTTCACCAGCATCCCTGATGCTTTCTGGTGGGCAGTGGTGTCCATGACCACCGTGGGCTATGGGGACATGTATCCCATGACCATTGGTGGCAAGATTGTGGGCTCCTTGTGTGCCATCGCTGGTGTGCTCACCATTGCCCTCCCTGTCCCTGTCATTGTGTCCAACTTCAACTACTTCTACCACCGAGAGACTGACCATGAGGAGCAGTGCCAGTACACCCACGTCACCTGTGGCCAGCAACAGTCGCCCTTCTCTGAGCCCAAGAAAGGGGACAGTAATCAGTCCCTCAGCAAATCTGAATTCCTGGAAGCAGAAGACCTGGAGTCCATGAAATATTCCAACTTCATTCCTCCCAATAACCAGGGATATAAAGAGAAGAAAATGCTGACAGAGGTGTGATGGGTTTTGTTCTTCTGGGTCCAGACACAGAGCTGCAAGCTGCTGTTACAGTTGTCTTCCTACAAGCAGCTGGATCTATTCAGCATTTACATGCCAGACTGTGAATTGTGATACCGTAAACAGAATGATTGTGATAATGGGCTCTTCTGGCCTGATTTGCTGTTTCTCATTACTGTGTGCAGCCAGAAATGTTCTTGCTTTATTCTGTGGAGTGCTAGCTGTCATCCCCACTCCCTTATGCATTTCTTTCTCTGCTTTTGATGACTGCTTTAATCCAACATTTGCTCTGAAACCAAGTCTTGTAACTCCACTAGCAGAGAAGTCCTTGCCACTACTTCAGTAGAGTAAACAGTTAAAGGGGCTACAAACATCTGGCTCGAGCCGTGCTCTCAGTCCCTGTGCCAGCGCGGTGCCCTTGGCTGTGGAATCAGTCACGCCTGCCATGCCATTGCCTTTGAATAATGGAAACACTGCAGCCAGGATCACAGGGAGCTCTGCAGCTCTAGGGGAAAGCCAGCAAGCAGATGCCTGCCTTCTTTGCAACCCTTGGCATGCTAAAAGATCCTCCTGGTTTGTGTTTCAAAAAAAAAAAAAAGAAAAGAAAAAAGGCGCAAAAATTTAAAAGCTCTTTGCTACTTGCGACCATACATCATGTGTCAAAAACACGCTTAAAGCAGTCAACAGGCTTGGTGAAGATTCTCTGTGTTTTGAGCTTATCTCAGCCTTATTTATGCCAGTGCCCTGATGTTAATTGGCTTTTATAGTACCAACTTAATCTTCATAGTGGTAAGTGCCTTCTGATACAAGGCATGTTTGAGTAAATCCATTTGTTATCTGCAGAGTTCATCTTCACACAATAGCATTTAATGAGATGTGCTTTGTGCTTCAGATACCCAGCTCTGTATTCAGGCACGTGAGAGCAGTTGACTCCTCTGCGTTTTTTTAATTGAGCATTTGTGTAGCTGAGGGAAGTTTGCATGTTGGTGTTTTGTTGATGTGGCAGGAAAATCCCGACCACAGAGAGCTCTGCACCTGTGCTGTGTGAGGATTGTGCTGGTTTAGCAAGTAACAGGCATAAAATGCTCCAGGGTGAGTGTGTCAACATTTGAAACTGAGACTGGCATGGATACAAACTTCCCTAAGCTGTCTCCAGACCCTTTAAATGAGGGGATAAACAGCGAGTCCTGAAGAGAGGCCCTTGCTGTATTGCTGGCCTAGCCAGTTCCTGGTATTTCATGGATGGGAGCGACAGCAGTGTTTTTGTAATTGGTTTTGTGAGAGCAGTTTGTGTCAGCCATGCAAAATATGCATAGCTTGGCCTGCAGTGCCGAGTTTGCCAAGGGACCAGAGATTTCTATCTTCAAATACGCATTTTTCTTCCCAGATAATTTCATTAGTTTCAGTCAGATTGGCCTTACACCTAACTTTAAAAATGTTTCAAGCTCTGCCAGCAGGTGAGAAAGGGAAATGTATGCTTTCAGATTCCACTAGCAGAGTTTCCTGCAAGGAAAAATCCTTCTTGTTTGAATTCTAAATGTTTATTCTGCATTCACATGTCTGCATGTTTACGAAAGCAAAGGCAGCCATTAATGCCTTGCATCACACTGTATGAAATGCATATTGGAATGTACTACATATTGCATGGCACACCTGTAATACATAAACCAGACATAATGCCAAAGTGCAAAAATACAGAGAATAGATTTTGTATATATATTGTGCTTTTCAGCCATAAGACTAAGAATGCTAAAGGCATATCATAGAATCATAGAACCTGGGTTGGAAGGGACCTTAAAGGTCGTTTCTTTCCAAAGAGGGACACCTTCCACTAGACCAGGTTGCTCAGAGCCCTATTCTTTAATATAGTAAAAACTGGCTATAGAACTGGTTGTGAGGTGGGATCTGTTTGCATTTTCATTACTCTCCCTGTTCTCAGTTGTCTTGAGATATGGCTCCATGCCTAGAGTGCTTTTATTGTAGCCTCTCTCCATCCTGGCCCTGCTCATATAGTAGAAGTTGTTTGTGCAAATCCTAACTACTCCATTTCTCCAGAGTGCTGTTGCCTTCTCAAATGTTTTTAGTGTGCAGGGATATCCCTTGGGGTCAGCACACAACCATTATATTAAAACCTCTGCTCTCTCTCTCTCTCTTGCTGAAATTAGTAGGGAATTGCCACTTCTCTACAGCTGGGAGACACACGTTTGATGTGTGGAGATTCTCAGTTCAGTTGAAGAAAGAACAGAGATAATTTCTCCCAGGCTAGCCTAGGAATCGTAGAGGAAAGAATTAAAACAATTATTGTCTCTCTTTCTGTAACCATTGTTTATAGTTATGGTTTTCCACAGTGTGCTATTCATAGTGCACCAGTAGTGTGAGATGTTTCTACTTTAAAACCAATCAAGTATCACCTTAACAAATCACATAATAAAAACCCCCGCTACTTTCATTAAAAATAACCTTCTAATCCACCTGAAAACTAAAATCTTTCTTTCCATCCCTAACTCAACAACATCAGATGTGGTGAGGATTCATAGCTCAGAGGGGTTTGCCTGAATAAAGCCTAATTTCTCTTTGCTTCATGGGACTGAGGCAAGGGTTTGTGAAGGTCTGAGCCTTGGGGACCATTCTGCATCCCTTGACACCTGTAATCAGCTGGTGGGTAAATTGTCCTGGTGAATAAGTGGGACTGAGGGGCATGGTAGCATCTCTGTTGATTTTGTGTAAAAGTTGTCCTTAGTGTGTCTTAGTCTTGGTGGTGTTCTTAGTTGTGTTTCGGGGTCAGCTTAATGAAATCTTTACTGTGAGGCCAAGAGAGGGACGGTTCTTCAAATTTTGTATTACTAGAAACTAGCAAAAGAAGCTGCTATTTAAGAGGGATGTTTTGAGGCTGATGCCCTCTCCCAGCAGAATGCCCATGTTTGGGGATATTTTATGCCTGAGTCTATCAGCTGATAAAAGTTCCCCCAAAGTAAGATATAAAAAACTCAGGTTGAACACAAGTTCAGGAGGAGTCATGAGACACGCTGAGCCTACGTCAGAAAATTCCTGTGCTCGTTTCTCCCCCTGGGCCTGGCCCCTTTGGCCCTGCCAGGCAGGAGCCCTCCGTGCCCAGAACAGGTTGTTCTCCTGACTGGCAGGACAGACAGCTGGACATGGAGACTCTAGCAAGAAAAAAAGATCACTGGTAGCACAATCCCAGTGTGTCTTACACAGATCCTCTTGGAAAGAGGCGTCCTGCCCTTGGGTGGGATCCAGCAGTGAGTTTCCAGGTGAAATTCAGCAGTGAGTTTCTAGTGGGTATTGGATTCTCCCACTCACAGATCGCACCCAAGGTGTGAAGGAATTTTGTGGTCAGCAAGGCAGCTTTGTGCAGTTTTTGTGAGCCACATTTGTCAGTTCTGAAAAGAAAAGGGCACATGAAAATGTCTAAAGCAGGAGTGATGTTTGCTCCCTGGGTTTTCTCTAAGAAAAATACAGACCACCAACAGAAACATGGAAACTGTAACCTTGGGACTCATTTAGGGCATATAAATCCTTCTCAACGCACCTCCTGAAAAGCAGTGAAGTCCCAGAGTTATCAGTAATGCTATATGTTACAGAACTTGTGGAATCTGACCTTTTTTAAGGAACCTTCAGATTTTTTTTTTTTCACATGACTGAAATGACACTGTGGCACCCGTTGACTTTACCAGAGGTCTTGTGCCACCGATCACAGAGATGCTTTCAAAAACCTTACCTCAAATTCTCAGCCCCTAGCACTCCCCCCGGCTGCTCAAAATGCAAATCTGTTTCCTTCTGAAGGTAGAGCACATCCCTGTGAAGCCAAGTAGGCACCTTCAGGGACTTGTTTCCATAACAACCTCCCGGACTGTTTCTCTCCGTGCTGTGATTGTGGCTACAAGCGAAAGCACTGAATTTTGTATTCAGATATCAGCACCTTATCTTTACAGATGTTTTCTTTGCCTACTGGAGCTGATCCCATCACCTCATATCATGTACAGCTGCCCTGTCCAACTTCAGGTGGGCAGTTTCCAGTTTCTTTTGAAAGCAGAGTGCAAACCTAGAGATGCGAAGAGATTTTATTTGTCCGTCCTTACAGAGAGCTGGAGAGTGTGTGAAGGACAATCTGAGCACTCAGCCAGGGAGCTGAGGGGCAACTGGTCTGATGTAGAGTCATCTGGGCACCTGGTGACAAGGAATACAGGCTAAAGCATTACATTAAAGATCCAGAAATTCCTCTTGCAGCAATCTCACTAGGAAATAGTTTTGCAGTGGAAGAGACTATTGCTCCTTCCAGATCCCCTGGCTGGCTTGTGACAGTTGGTTCCCCTGATCATTTTCCTACAGGATGTTTTTCACCAAAGGAGGACAGGGCAGAAATCATCTCCTTGGAGGTGGGGAAGGAAGGAAGGAAAGGAAGAATTTTACTGAGGACACAATTTTTTTTATCCACACAAAGGTCTGGAAGCATGAAAGGCATGAAGACTGGTTCTGTGGTGTTTTACTGTTGGACTCCTGCTCTTATCTCCAAGATGAAATTCCTGTTCTGCTCCTTATTGGAAAACATTGGAATTCAGGATTTTTGAGTAAGTTTGGGCCTTTTGATCCAGCATTCATGGATAAAAATTCACTGCTACAGCAGCTGTGAGAGTGAAGGTGACTGAGCTTGGTCTTCTCTCCTGGGTACTCTCATTCAGAGGTCCCTATGGGATAAAGAAGAGTGAGTGTAAAGAAAATTCAGGGGAGCAAGAGACAGGGTAAAGACTGAAGTGTCTTCCACACAGTGATGGAAAAAGCAGCATCAACCCTAAAAGCAAAGGAACAAACAGCTCCAGCATCTGCTGCTATTGCAGAAATAGGTAAGGTTTCTTTCTGTTCTGGGAAATTAACGACCAAGAATTTCTTGAAATTAATGAGGAAGGATTTCCTAATTAGGATTTGCAGCCTAAAGGGAGAATCTGGTTCTAGGTGAAGAAAGAAAGATAATTATAAACTACAGAAATGTAGTATGAGCCAGATCCTCACCATCTGCTGATTCAAGCTGGCAAAACTCCTTTTAGTACAACTGCCTTGGATTATATTGGGCTCCAACTTTAATCTTCTGCATCAAATCCAAGCACATGTACTGTTTGTTAAACTGCTTATTTTTGTTTGTTCTTTTCTTGAGGTCCTGTTTACATCAGGGAAAGATCTGCAGATTACAGCAGGAGTCAACCACAGCTTTCCCAAAAAGCTCCCACCTGACTCGAGTCCAAGTAAGTCCTACCAAACTCAGAAGAGCTAAGCTAAACTTAACTTTTAAATTTATATTGACAGAAATTAAAAGCAGCAGCATTTTATGCATTTTTTTCCTCACTGCTGGAAAGATGTGGACAGATTCATAGGGAATTGGAAGATACTATCCTCCATGGCAGCCCTATGAGCACCAGATATCTCTGTTGGTGCTGCTGTAACCAAGAGCACAGCCTTGAGCCCTTCATTGTTGCTCTTTGAAGCTTGCACTAGAGGCAGATCCCTTCTGAAGAGATTTGCAGCCATGTTATCAGCAGGTTCACAGGAGAATGCCTGAATTGCAGGCACCTGCTTTAGGCATAAGGAGGGGAGCAGGTGTTGGCAGGATGAAAAGACTTAATCCCCCGATGAAAGGAACCAGGGGATGCGGTGTGTCCTTAGCTGCCACCAAAGACAGTGCCTGAGGAAACTGCCTGCCAGTTTCAGGGAGCTCTTCTTGTTCAGGCCAGGGTCCTACAAGACCCTACCCAGGGAGATAAATCCAGAAAAATATTTTTGGGGAAAGCAGACAGGAACTGTGCTCATTAACAGTGCGGCATATGCTGTTAGTACATGTTAATTCCATATGCTTTTCCCTTTTTAGGTGGATTTTCCCTTGCTCCAGGGAAGTCTGTCTGGGGCTTGTTGGCTGGCACAAGGAGTTTGAATGTCACGACATGGCTTTACATTTTGGGAAACTCATAGCTGAGGTCAGTGTGAGTTGTACTGTCCTACAACATTCAATGATGAACCCTCACCACTGCACATATTGAGGTTGTCTGTGCCAATTAATAAGAGGGGGCCCAAGAAATAATTGAGCTTTGCTGCGCTAAATTTCTTCTTAGTGAAAGGAAAGAAAGAATTTGCAGGAGGGAAAGTGCTCATCCATTTCTGTGGTCACCATAAATACTGAAGCTGTGTTGACTACTCATTGAAGATGAGAATTAGGGGAAACTTTTGTCTTCACACAAAGAAAATTCAGCAAGTGTTTCTTTGGCTTCATTTTCACTAAATTAATATAAATATATTTATTCAGTGGTATAAAATTTTGGAACACCCTTAGTCCAAAAGTGACATAAGTCACAAATTTATCTATTTAATTATCAAATCTAACCATTGACTGTTTAAGAAAATGAGGGCCCTTGATTCTGCTTTCTACCCAAGGTTAGATAAACGTTTCCATAGGATTGTGGATGGTATGACTCCTGATTTCAATGAATGTGAGAGAAGAATCAGGCTCAAAGAAGAGGGCTGTAAGTGCACATGACTAGGCTGGATCTCTTTAGGGTGCTGTAGGTGCACATTGGTCCATTCACCTAAAAGGTTGTATACAATTTTACATCAACAAAAGGTCTAGCTTTTAGAGTACGTATTGGTTTATTCTCTTACATTCTCTGGAGGGAAATTAAATGGTATTTTGCAAGAAAATGGGAACATTACCATCCCTTCTTGCTGCTCCTTGCTGCATCTGTTGTTTTCAATTAGCTTGATGGCATCCATTTTCAGAAAGCAGATGCTGCCCTCTTTTACACTGGTGCAATTCTGGAATAACTCCACTGACGTCAGTGAAGTGACTCCAAATTTATCCCCAGCAAAAGCAGAATTGGACCACAGTCTCTTTGTCTGCCTCTTTGCTCTGGAGCTCAGGGGAAGGTGTGCCACTGCCACAACATAAGGTGCCTGTCTGCTGTGCTGTGCTTGGCATTTTTGTGTCCTTGACACCCCCACTCACGTGCCTGGCTGGAGCAGGAGCCAGGCTGGCCTGGGGCATGCATGGCCACCAAATTCCTGGTGCTGAATGTAGCACTTTCTGGCTCTGGATTCCTGACCACTCTCCATCTTAGCTTCCTCTTACCTGAATATGTTTCCCAAGGAGACAGAGCTTTTTAAGATGAAGAAATGTAGTTGCAATCCTTAAGTAATAGAACAACAGAAGGGTGGCAGAGGTAGATGTGGAGACAAGCTCTGCGCCTCCTACATTTTTTTGCTGATAGGGCTATGTAAAAATCACTGCAGTCCTGGTAGGTTGGCTTTACATCTGCTGGTTTCAAAGTCTCCATTTACAGGGAGTACTAGGTTGGAAAAAACAGGACTTACCTGCTCTAACTCTTCTGATGTCAGTCCTGCCTTCCCTGAAACTGGACAGAAAGCTTGGTGTAAAATCACCAGTCTGCTGTAAGGGAAATACCACTGGAGATGGGACAGATGAGGGTGAGTAAAAGGAATAGTTGTAGAATCATGGAATGGCCAGGGTTAGAAGGGATTTTAAAGACCATCTCATTCCATGCCCCTGCCATGGGCGGGGACACCTTGATTGCTGAGAGCCCTCTCCAGTCTGGTCTTGAGTATCTCCAGGGATGGGGCAGCTACAGTTGCTCAGGGAAATCTGTTCCAAGGGCCTCACCACCCGCACAGGGAACAATTTCTTCCAAATATCCAATCTAAATCTTCTCTGTCAGTGTGAAGCCATTCCCCCTTGTCCTGTCACTCCAGGCCCTTGTTAAGAGTCTCTCTCCATCTTTCCTGTGGGCTCCCTTCAGGCACTGCAAGGCCACAGTGAGGTCACCCCAAAGCCTTCTCTTCTCCAGGCTGAACAATCCCAATTCCCTCAGCCTTTCCTCCCAGCAGAGCTGCTCCATCCCTCTGCTCCCCTTGGTGTCCCTGCTCTGGCCTGGCTCCAGCAGCTCCCTGTCCTTCACTCAGCCAGAGTGCCAGTGTCACTAACTGAGTGTCTTAGTTAAAAAAAAAATCGAAGTGCAAGTCTTGGAAAGTCTCAAGACAAGAATGTTCAGTAACACCTGAAAAATGTTAGTTCTGCAAGGCCTCATCTGGAATGCTGTGTGCATTGTTGGTGACCTAAATTTGGTCAGGCAGGATGCACAATGGAACAGCAAGAATGACCAGGTGGATGGAATGTGCTTTGCTAGTGGAAGCTGGAAGAGCTTGACTTTTCTAGGCCAGCAAAAGACTGACAAGACCTGTAGTTAGGAAAGTACTGGGGGAAAAATATGAGAAATTGTAAGATCTTCACACATTTCTTGTGTCTCCAGATCAGTTGCCATATTGCACATTTACGTACAAAACACCAAATCTTGGTGATTTTACTACTAAATACTTGGGTTTTGTGGGTAGGAGAGGAACTGTGAGTCTTGGTAGGAGAGGAGCTGTGAGTCTTGGGAGGTTTCTTCCTCTGTGGGACTGAGGAAGGAAGTCCTAGGAGTGGGGTAGAATGGCACAGAGGATACCATATCCCTCCAGGAGTTGGTCTGGAGGATTCACACCCTTTAAAAAACCCCACCAAATTCTGTTCACTGTGCTTCCCCTCAACCTGGAATGGCTGCTCACCTTGTCCAGTCCTTTCTCCCTATCCAGAGCTCTCCAGCTCTTTGCTGACCTTCCATCTTCCGGGAATCTGTGGTCATTCCTCACTCCCATGAGCTTCCTGGTATCCTTGGAATGGTGCATTGCATCTAATGTTGAGGAATGCCTTGAACCAGCTCTGCTGCAGCTCATTTTATCTAATGCATCATTATTATTATGCATCATTTATCTAATGCATCATTTTATTATGCATCTAATGTTGAGGAAAGCCTTGAACCAGCTCTGCTGCAGCTCAGTTAGATTATCTGATTTGAGTAACCTGCCCTGGTGGAAGGTGTTCCTGCCTCTCTGGCAGGAATATTGGAATGAGGGGATCTTTAAGGTCTTTTCCAACCCAAATCAGTCTGTGATTCTGTGGTTTGTCACAGAAATAAGCAGTGATGTCTTCAACATCTGCAGCTCACAGAATCATTGAGGTTGGAAAATACCTCCAAGATCATCAGGTGTAGCCTTCAGTGGAATATCACAATGCCCAGAAAACCATATCATGAAGTGCTATGTCCACTCATTCTTTGAATAGTTTCAGGGCTGGTGACTCCAGCACTTCCTTGGGTGGTCTGCTCCAATGATTAACTGCTCTTTCAGTAAAATTTTTTTTCCTAATCCAGTCCTGTCCCTTGTTCCCCTGGAGAAGAGGCTGACCCCCACCTGGCCACAGCCTCCTGTCAGGGAGTTGTGGCAAGCAGTGTTGTTGGGTAGGAGGTCAGAGCAGTTGATCCCAATGGCCACTCTGGCCTGAAGAGATAAGCAGAATAATCTCCTATTGCACGCACTGTTCTGACACAGAACAAAATTTCACATTTCCACTCTAACCTCTCTCACCTCTCTCAAATCACAGAATTCACAGAATTCACAGGATTCACAGAATCACTAGGCTGGAAGAGACTTTAAATATCATCAAGTCCAACCCATGCCCTGACATCTCAAGTAAGCCGTGGAGCTGAGTGCACATCCAGTCTTTTTTTTAAACTCATCCAGGGATGGTGACTCCACCACCTCCTTGGGCAGGCCATTCCAGAAATTCATGACTCTTTCAGTGAAAAACTTTTTCCTAATATCCAACCTGTACTTCCCTTGGCACAGCCTAAGACTGTGTCCTCTGGTTCTGTCAGTTGCTGCCTGGAGAAAGAGACCAACCCCACCTGACTGCAGCCACCTTTGAGGTAGAGAGTGCACCTCTCAGCTGTAGAGAGTGATAAGGTCACCACTGAGTCTCCTTTTCTCCAGGCTAAACACCCCCAGCTCCCTCAGTGGTTCCTCACAGGGCTTGTGTTCCAAGCCCTTCACCACTCTCATTGCCCTCTTCTGGACACACTCAAGGGTCTCAACATCCTTTCTAAACTGAGGGGCCCAGAATTGTTTCCCCTTGTGGAGGTGAAGATCCTCTTAAGCTCAGGAGGCAGACAAAATATTGACTGAAGTGGGAGCTTCATCCATTCAGCCAGTTCTGTGCCACAGAAGTGCTAGGAAGCAGCTGTCCTTAGATTTTGTCCTTGAGCTTTCCTGCTTGTTGATGCTCTTTGTTCACTTCAGTGAGGAAACCATTGTCTTGTGATTTCCATCTTTATTTTGGCCAACCAGTTCTGCTCTTTAGCTTTTTTCCTGTGAGTAGTAAGATGCTGAAGGCCCTGGATGGGAAGCCACACACGGAGCAGCTGAGGACACTGATCTGTTCAGCTGACTGAGGCCAGAGCTCACAGCAGCTCTGCAGCTTCCTCACAAGGGGAAGAGGATGGGAAAGGCCCTGATCTCTGCTCTGTGTGACCAGGACCCAGGGAACAGCTGGAGGGAAGGGTTAGGTTGTTTAGGAAATTTTCTTCCCCCAGAGGGTGATGGGGCACTGAACAGACTCCTCAGGGAATGGTCATGGTCCCAAGGCTTCCAGAGCTCCAGGCACAGGATGGGATTGTTGGGGTGTCCTGGGGAACAGGAACTGGAGTTTGACTTGATGATCCTTGTAGATCTCTTCCAGTTCAGGCTGTTCTATGATTTTGTGATGCAATGAGGAAAAAAAGAAAAGCCAGGCAATGGAAATGTTATAAATATCCATGCACATCACAAAAGCCTGTGAATGTGGACACCACTTGTGTCTATCTGTGGCATTGGCAGGATGGTGCACACAAATCTGGTGGCCCTTAAGATGTCTTAAGAACCTGTCCCAAGCATTGGGCATCATTTGAGTCATGGCAATGAGCCACATTAGAAAGGAGATGTAAGAAATGCATAGTAAGCCAAGGAGTTTGATTTGAACCATGAACACAATCATGCATTTATTTCTGATCTCAGTTTACTCACAGAATTATGGAATAGCCCAAGCTGGAAGGAACCC